AGCTACTCACTTCCTCTCATTGGATTATTCGTGATTCTGAAAATGCAAGTGCCGTAAGTACGGGTCAGCAGCCGAATGAGCGGACTGCAGGGTCTCCGTACGGTGGAGAGCTCTCCACAGCGGCGAAGAGCCAGAGTTCCTGCCCCTCATGGCGACACGTTGCCTCCCGAGGACACAGGCTGAGAGCATCCTCTGGTTCTGTTTGTGCCCATGGGGCCCAGGAGGGGTTCACCCCTGGCTCTGGGAGCCAGTGGTCGCCCTTGACAGGCACAGGATGGGGCCTGTGATGTCCCTTTCGCTGTCTGGGGCTGACTTTGGGAAAGGCGTCTGGCGAGCTCTGACTGATGACCTGGGGCTTGAGGTGTGGCTATTAGATGACCCAGGACAGGCGCCCCAGGGAGGAGCGGCGGTGTGGCCGCTGGGACGGCGCCCTTGGTGTCCTCAGCTGTGAGCTCAGTAGCTTCTGAAGAGCCAGTGACAGGGAGGAGAGTGGAAGTCAGGAGGGAGGGACAGTAACAGACTCCTTCTCAACACTGCAGGCCGGCTCAGGGCCACCTCCTCACCACGCCGTCACCCGTGTCACCCAGGGCGGAAGCAAAGCTGACAGCCTTGAGGTCCCTGTAGGGGGAGGCGGAGGAGCCGAGCGTCTTTTCCCCTTTTGTGCAGCCCTTTTTTTGTAACTTTAAGACTGGGCCTGACTAAGTTGCTAAATTGCTCAGGCCGGGCTCGAACTTATGATCCTCCTGCCTCAGCCTCCAGAGCACTGGGATTACAGGTCCTGTGTGTCTTCCCTGTAGCACCTTCTCTGGGGCTTTTAGGGAAACCCAAGCACCTGTGACAGCTGAGCTCAGGTGCCTGCTGTCTTCCACATTGTGTCTTCCACGCCACCATCTAAAACTGTCCCTCAGCTGGCTTAGCAGCACACGCCTGCTGTCCCAGCACTTGGGAGGCTGAAGCAGGAGAATCTCAAGGTGGATCCCAACTTAGGTAACTTAGCAAGTCCTGGTCTCAAAACAGTTTTCAAACTGGGCCAGAGATGTAGCTCAGTGTGATGGCCCCAGGTTCAATAGCTAGTATCACCCCCAAGAAAAAGCGCAGTGCACACTAGCCACCCACAAGGACAGCCAGGATTGACAAGCCAGCCACGCCAACAGTTGGCACGCACCTGTGGCCTCGTGCCCAGCTGGGCAGGTGCTAAGCAGTTAAGCACCCCGGCCTGGGGCCCGCCGCCCTGCTGGCCACTGAAAGTCAGGGCCCGAGCGAGCCCGGCCACTTGGTCATCACCACAAGGACCAGAAGCCCTGCTGCCCACCCTCTTCATTGACCAGGGAGGACAGTATCACACGGCAGCTGCAAACCAGTTACGCGTGGGGACAGGCCACGTGCTGGACGAAGGGGGAAAGCGCGGGGCAATTCTTTCTGCAAAGAAACAGGAGATGCAGACTAAGTGGACAGCAGCTTCCTGCCAATGGGGCAGAGGTCAGAGCGGACAGAAAATGGCCAAGGGGTCCGAGGTCCAGGCAGTGGTGTATGCCTTTGATCCTAGCACTCAAGAGGCTGAGGCAGGCAGATCCCTGCAAAGTTCAAGGCCATCCTGTGCTACATAGCGAGACCTTGTCTCAAAAACAAAGCAAAGGTCTCTGCCACAGGGGCTGCCTGGGTGGACAGCAGGTGAAGGCTGGGAACATTAGGCAGACACAGGGCCACTCATACTCCCCAAGCCCTAGCGCCAAAGCCCCCATCCAAACTGACAGGAGAACATGACTCTCTGAGTGCCAGGCCAGGCCCTGTCCCCTGGTGTCCACTTTGGTTCCTAGTTCTGAGAAAGAGGGTACACCCAGGAAAGAGGTCTCTGAGAGGAAAGACAGCAGCCAGGTACAAGGGCGTGTGCCTTTTTGTACCAGCCACTTGGGAGGCTGAGGCAGGAGGATCTAAATTAGAGCTCAGCTGAGCTTTAGTTGGAGAGCAGCATGGACCACACAGCAAAGCTCACCCCCACCCCGGCCTGTGGGCCCCTCATGGCACACGGGGAGGGGCAAGGACCGGCCCCGAGGATGCCGGCCAGCTCAGTCCCCCCCCACGGAGACACCGCCGCTCTGGGCTTCGCCCCAGTGATGCGATTTCTATTCTGATTCCATGTGACATTTATGAAATGGCTCTCAGACACCACACACTGCTGTGGGATGAAATCCAATGCTGGATCCTGAGTGGTTCCCTGAGGCAGGCAGGGCCCCACCACCCACACGTCCCCACGGGGGACAGGCTGCACCCCACCGGAAGCCACCTGCAACCTGGGCCGTGACCCCCAGACCCCAGCCGGGTCCCCACTGAGCCAGCGCAGCTCAAAGCACAGATCTAAACTACGGGCAGACAGGAAATCGATGCCGGGCTGGGAGTGTCGTATTTTACGAAAAAACCCCAAATGAAATACGAGAATGGAAGGCAGGGGACAGGCTGCCCCGGCGAGGGGCCACGCTGCTCCCCGCGGAGCTAGGGGACGGGATGCGGGGGCCTCCGCTTGTGCCTCCAGGTCTCCCCCAGCTCCAACCTGGGCTCCACCCCGGCTTCCCGAGTCCACATAACTCACCGACACACACGCACCAGGCTGCGGCCACTCTACCCACAGCGAGGGACAGGGACACGGGTCTCTCCCAGGGGACAAACCCCACGCCGTTGCCCGCTGACCTCCTGGCCTCTAGGGCAGCCAAGGTGCCTTCTGCTCAGAAGTCCTGCAAGTTCTCAGCTGGGCTCAGCAGGAATCCCATCCAGATCCAGGGGTGCGCACCCATAATCCCTGCACTCCAGGAGGCTGACACAAGATTGCAAATTCAATCCCAGCCTGGGAAACTTACTGAGTTCTTGTCTCAAAATAAAAAGGGGTTTGGGTTCAATCCCCAGTAGCACAAGTGGGAGTGCAGGGGAAGCCGGCGGGTGCAGCCTGCTGGGTTGAGGGACGCGGGGAGGCGCACGCCCCCTCCTGGCCACATGAGGAACCGCAGCCAGGGGTTCCAGGCACCTGCAGGCCCAGCCCAGAGCAGGTGACCCCACCAAAGTTAGGGTTGGAGTGCAGGTCGGACCAAGTAGGCAGAGGGAAGGGGACAGCAGCTTGATCCCTCAGGATCCAGTCACCTTCCTGTCACCACAGAAGGCCGAGGCAGGATTGAAAGTTTGAACCCAGGCTTGTGACCTTTCAAGACCAATGGAGCCTAAGAGCCAGGGATTTAGCTCAGTGGTTCCACCACCTGCCTCACAAGCACAAGGTCCTGAGTTCGACCCCCAGTACCAAAAACAAAAGACCGATGGAGCCTGAAACTGTGGAGGGGTGGAAAGTGGATCTAGAGGGCTGTGTGGGGACAGGGGACTGACAGCCACAGGTCAGGTCTGGGGGGGTGGAGGAAGAGACAGCGGGAGGGCTGAACACACTAAAAGCCATAGTATCACACTTTGGCCAGTGGACAGGACTCGATGGGAACTTCGTCTTGTGCCAGATTAGCCAGGCGTGGTGGCACACACTTGCAAGGCTGAGGCAGGAGGATCTCAAGTTCAAGTCCAACCCGGACAATTTAAGTGACATAGTGAGACCTTGTCTCAAAATAAAAACTTTTTTTTGGGGGGGGTACCAGGGATTGAACTCGGGCCCTTGTGCTTGCCAGGGAGGTGGTAGAACCATTGAGCCAAACCCCTAGCCCTCAAAAATTTTAACAAGGCCACAGATGCAGCTCATTGTGGAGGCCCTGGGTTCCATCCCCAGGAGGGCAGAAAAGTGAAACATCCCTAGTCCCACAAATCACATGCAGATGGCCCTTTGTAACTTATGGTACCAGCCTGGTCATCTGTACACCTTTATCAACAGGCAGGAGGGGAATCTTTCCCGAATGATGAAGAGCCAATACTCTCATCACTGTGGAGATTGTTTTTTTCTTTTTGCGGTGGGTTGAGACAGGGTCCCGCTGAATAGTCCAGGCCGGCCTCGAACTCACAGCAGAGTGCTGGGATTACAGGCGTGCACCATCACACCTGGCCAGAAAGTACTTTTTTCCTGAATTAAAATGTAAATGGCACCAAAGAAGTTTTGTTTTAGTCACTTCACACTTGGGCAGTCATCAATTTGAAGAGATTTCATTCAAAATGCTTTCAGCTGAAAACTTCCCCAAACAAATGAGGGGTGACCTTACCGGGCAGGAAACCCCACATTAACTGAGCTGGGGGAGGCAGAAACCGCGAGCCAGACCCCAACATCGGAGTGCGGTGAGCTGTTCATTCCATGCCACACTGCTGCGAGATCATATAACTTGGATTTATTTGCTTTACGTAACAATAACTTAAAAAACAGAAACAGGAAACAGGTCTTGTATTACAGGAGATCAAATACAATAAATGAAATCCGGCCAGGGCTCCAACAGCCAACAGGGAACACACGCAGGGCCCTAGGGGCTTACAGGTCCCACCCCGGTTTGTCCCCCACTGAACGGCAGACTGCAACTCACCAGGAGCTGCGTTAGTTTATAGCTCCATTTAAATTAGTATGAGTGGAGCAGATACAAACAGCTCACACACTGCTGGTTTTCCACTCAGCTGAGAACTTGCCAGGTGACACGTAGTTAGGCAGATGTTAGGACTGCAGCGAGCAACGTCTCCTTGAGATATCTGTCTCACGAAGATAACACTGGTGACTTTTTATAAATACGAAGTAGGTAATATCCGAAAGGGACTCATATAGTAAAAAGAAAAAAATTCTAATTGAAGAGACATGGGTAAACTATAAAGAGATCAGACCTCAACATGACCTACTCACAAACTAAATCAGAAGGAGCAACACCTGTCTCCCCTGGGCACTACACACTTGGCATAGATTTGCCCAGAACTGACTTCAAAAGTAAAGAGGGCCAGGAGTGGTGGTGCACACCTGTAATCCCAGCATGCAGGAGGCTGAGGCAGGAGGGTCGCTGTGAGTTCGAGACCAGCCTGGGCTACGTAGCCAGTTCCAGGTTAGTCTCAACTACATAGTGAGTGAGACCCTGTCTCAAAAAACAAACCAAAAAAAAAAAAAAGAGTGGTTCAATTCATGACAACTTTGCACTTTGAGCAGGCGTTCCCCCGACAGTACAGTTTCCGGTTTGTGTGAAAAGTGCCAGTCTGATTTACCACCAGTTCAGCAAACTTTTGCCTGTGTGGCTGCCAGCCTTCTCTGCCTGGGCGGTGTTTATCCTGCTGAGCTGCCGGGGTCCCCTCGCCGTAGTGCTGTGGTGGTGTCGCAGCTAACACGTGTTTGCAAAGCAGGACCGGATCTTCCAAAGGATCCAGGGGGCTGGGCTTAAACGTCCTCTCCTTAGGTGACACTGCTATAGCACTGTTACGAAACAGGACTGACTGAGGTAGCTACACAGTTTTACAGGTGCCATTAACAAACACTGGACAAGGCGTGGTGTAGCTGGCTGATTTACTTTAGCTGATTTTTTTTTTTTTTAATGACAAAGGGGGAAAAAAAATCAGCAAAATAAGAGCACATCTCCAGTTCATTTAAAAGTCAGCATCCAAAGTAAAAGAATTCTCTGTAGGACTGGACATGACTCCCATCCTCTGATACTCGCCTACTCTCTTCTCAAAGAAGTTCGTCTTCCCTTCCAGAGAAATATTCTCCATGAAGTCAAACGGATTTTCCACTCGGAAAACCTAAATACAAAAATAAATAATCAACCAACCAAACAAACAAACAAAGGGAGGCTGAGGCAGGAGGATCACTGCAAGCTCAAGGCCATCCTGAACTACATAGTGAGAGACCCTGTATCAAAAAAAACAAGCAAAGGGCCAGGGATTTTGGTCAGTGGTGCCACCGCCTGCCTCACAAGCGCAAGGTCCTGAGTTTCATCCCCTCCCCAGTACCAAAAATCAAGCAATAAGGGCTGGAAATGCAGGGATGTAACTCAGTGGCACTGCGCCTGCCTGGCCAAGAGCAAGATCCCGAGTTTGATCCCTGGTACCGAGGGGGGAAAAAAGGCAATAAAAAGATACAAATGCATAGCACCAACTTCCAGAGAAGCAGAAAGGTCAGGTGCTGCTTTACCTTGCTGAAGCCCAGTTCCAGCATGAGCCTGTCAGCCACAAACTCGATGTACTGCTTCATTAAAGTGCAGTTCATCCCGATGAGCTTCACGGGCAAGGCCTCGGTGAGGAACTCCTAGGAAGAGAACACGGCTGAGCACCGGAAGCACAAAGCAAAGCGGAGACACACACGCCGCCCGCCTCACCCACCTGCTCGATCCTGACGGCGTTGACAATGATCTCCTTCACTCTCTGCTCCGAGGGTTTGTGCACCAGGTGCTTGAACATCAGGCAGGCGAAGTCACAGTGCAAGCCCTGGGAGAGTTCAAGGACACTTGTCAGTCTTGGTGATGCACACCTGTCATCCCTGCACTCTGGGAGGCTGAGACGGGAGGATTCCAAGTCTGAGCCTAGCCCAAGCAACTTAGCAAGACCCTGCCTGCCTCAAATGAATAACTCTAAAAGGGGGAGTACTGAGGATCTAGCCCAGTGCAAAGGTCCTGGGCTGTCCCCATACTACAAAACAGACACACCCTCATCTGTTGATTCCAGGGATGTGAACTCCCATGTTCAACGTGGATGCAACACAACCCAACATCCTGGGTCCCTCAGGAAACACAAGCGTGTCCGTAAGAGCTACCCATCGGGCATGCAGGCTGAGACTCACCTCATCTCTGCTAATAAGTTCGTTGGAAAAGGTAAGGCCAGGCATCAGTCCCCGTTTCTTGAGCCAGAAAATGGACGCAAAAGAACCGGAAAAGAAGATCCCTTCCACGGCCGCAAAGGCGACCACACGCTCTCCTGTGAGTCACACGCAAACGTCCCCAGTGAGCAGCCGTGTGCTCAGGGTGACTCTGCTTACGAAACGATGCTCGGCCCTATGGGGCCTGGGTGTCCTTACCATAGGTGGCCTCTTTGTCCCCAATCCAGCGCAAGGCCCAGTCCGCCTTCTTCTTCACGCAGGGCATGGTCTCGATGGCGTTGAAGAGAAACTCCCTGCGGGGACAGAGTGTCAGCGCAGCCCCACACCTCTAAGTAACGGCCCTGGGATCCAACCCTGAGCATTTGCTAATTCTCTCCCCCAAGGAAGGCGTCAAACTGCCATTTCCTTTTTACAGACTGGCTTTTCCTCCAGATTTTAAACACTGCAACTCCGAGGGTGGTTACACTGCCCACCCGCGAGGGAGAGGCCCTGGGTTCAATTCCCAGTACTAAAAACTTCAACTCCCATGTGATTTACACTAACACAAGCACCGGTGGGAGTCCTTTACTTCGTAGCAAACTCCACGGTCTACGCACACTAAACGGGCCATTACAGCGGGATACCGATCGGCTCAATCATCTCAAGGCCTGATTAACGTTCGTAGGCCCACAAAATCTTAGCTACTATGACAGCCCCGCCAGAGACAGGGAGGGCGGAGAGGGAGTCAAGACGGGCAATGTCGCCGCCATGGCCTAATAAAAAAGCCGACTGACCCCCCAGGACTGCCGCTCCATGGTAATTAAAGCACAAGAGTAAGCCTGTCAAAGTGCTCCCACTCCACACAGGGCTTCTGGCCTAAAGCTGACCACGGTGCCTACACCGCTCACGCGGCCCATTTCTAATTCTGCCTGTTCCCCCCAAGCCCTTCCCTGTTAATCAGGCCTTCAGCAACCCTGCTTCCATGGCCCAGTGTCACCCCATCCTAACCTTCTCCCGCTGCGCCGCCTGTGCGATGTCACAGCTAAGAAAGTCTGCTCAGAGCAGACCCGACCACAGGAGCTAGAAATGTCGGTGGGCGGCCCGCTTAGTCACTCCAGAATGCTATTTACTCCTATGTGCACTAAGATTTTTCAAATAAAGTAAGGGTTAGTGCCTCCAAGACGTCCGGCATCCCATCGGAGCCCTCACCTTTCTTTGGAGTCTTTAATGTAAGTGTCGATAAGGAGACTGTACATTTCAGAATGTATGTTTTCCATGGCAATTTGGAAGCCATAGAAACAGCGGGCTTCTGTAATTTGAACTTCTTGGCTAAACCGCTCCACCTAGTGGTGATAAAACACACCCAAGTTAACCACGAGAAACCACCCACCACACAGGGCGGCGATGGATACCAGCGGACGACTGCATTCCCCAGGACCACGAAAAGCATGGCTCACCGGGCATGCCGGGACGCGCCTGCAATCCCAGCACTGCGGGCCGAGGCAGGAGGCTCGTGTGTTCCAGGCTAGCCCGGGCAGGTTAATGACAGGTACAAGACGGAAATGGGCTCGGGATCTGGCTCGGGGTGAAGGCCTTGGGTTCAGCCCCCAGGACCCTTCCCCTCCTATACAGAAGGTTTGCTTTCATATATAGCTAACACAGCTTTTTCAGTTCTGTGTTAATGTTCAACGTTTTATGTCGTACGTTCCAGCTATCTCCTATTTTATAGGGCTTCTGTTAACATTATCACTGCTCCACTAACTCATCTCATGAATTCTTTTACAAGACCTATGCAACCCAGGAAAGCCAGGAAAAGAAAGTGAAGGCAGGGAGGCTCTGAGTAAACTCACACAACCCTTTCACAGTGGGGATAAAATATGAGGAAGGCCAATTGCAACATGGATTGTAAAACAGGAAATGCCACGTAATACAAACTCTAGCTGACAGACACACAGCCTGGAAACATGAAAAACGTGAGGAAAGAAAGCACAACTACTGCAGCCCTTCAAGGGAACTAAAGACTGGGGGGGGACTCACCAGATTCTCATTGACTATGCCATCGCTGGCAGCAAAGAAAGCCAGGACATGCGAAATAAAATATCTCTCCTCAGGCTTTAGTGCTTCCCAGTGCTGAATGTCTTTGGATAGATCCACCTGCAGGGTTAGAAGTTCACGACTTTAATATAAAGGAAAGAGATTCAGGCGTGCAGGAAGGAGCTCACACAAGCACTCCCACATTTTCCAGCAGGTCTGTCCGCCACACCCTGGATCCCTACCCTTCAAGGCCAGAATTCCTTTGCCAATTATATCCGGGCCCACCCTAGGGCAAGCACCCCAAGAGGAACGGGTGTCATCTCAAACAAGTCGTCCCCACCCCGGTAGAGCACCTGAACCTGCTTACCTCCTCAGCCGTCCAAAAGGAGGCCTCGGCTTTCTTATACATCTGCCAAATATCATGGTACTCGATGGGAAAGATCACGAAGCGCCGGGGGTTCTCTCTCAGCAGCGGTTCGTCCTCCACGCTGGGGGAAGGTCCCTTGCCCTTCTGTTGTTGATGCGGGAAAAAATAACCATAAGACCTAAGGACGCCGGCCATGGTGGCTGCACACCTGTAACCCTAGTATTGGGTGGGGGGAGGCAGGAGGACCCCCGCGAGTCCGAGGCCAGCCTGGGTTACATAGTGAGTTCGAGACCAGCCTGCTGAACCACACGGCGAGAGCCTGCCTCAAGAAAACCGAAAAAACAAAAGCCAAAAGTGAAACCACAGAAAATTGCCCTTTTCCCAGGCCAAGCATTGCGACTGTCGCAATCTCGCGTGGGCCGCATGGATGCAGGTGAGCTGTCACAGCACCTCGGCAAGAGGCCTCCGGAGGCGCGCACCCCCGGGTGGACGCGAGGCCCGGATGGAGAAAGCGGAGCGCCCCAGTGAGGGGACCCTTTGGCGGGAAGGGGGTGCGGGGCAGGCAGCCGGGGAGACAAAGCGCGTTGGCG